ATAACAACCTAGACTATCTGTATGTCAGATGTCCATGTGTCTAGATCTGTGTACCCCTAGACTATCTGTATGTCAGATGTCCATGTGTCTAGATTTATGTGAACCTAAACTATCTGGATGTCAGATGTCCATGTGTCTAGATCTGTGTAAACCTAGACTATCTGTATGTCAGACGTCCATGTGTCTAGATCTGTGTAAACCTAGACTATCTGTATGTAAGATTTCCATGTGTCTAGATCTGTGTAAACCTAGACTATCTGTATGTAAGATTTCCATGTGTCTAGATCTGTGTAAACCTAGACTATCTGTATGTAAGATTTCCATGTGTCTAGATCTGTGTAAACCTAGACTATCTGTATGTAAGATTTCCATGTGTCTAGATCTGTGTAAACCTAGACTATCTGTATGTCCATGTTTCTAGATCTGTGTACACCTAGACTATCTGTATGTCAGATGTCCATGTGTCTATATCTGTGTAAACCTAGACTATCTGTATGTCAGACGTCCATGTGTCTAGATCTGTGTAAACCTAGACTATCTGTATGTAAGATTTCCATGTGTCTAGATCTGTGTAAACCTAGACTATCTGTATGTAAGATTTCCATGTGTCTAGATCTGTGTAAACCTAGACTATCTGTATGTCCATGTTTCTAGATCTGTGTACACCTAGACTATATGTATGTCAGGTATCTATGTGTTTTGATTTATGTGAACCTAGACTATCTGTATGTCAGATGTCCATGTTTCTAGATCTGTGTAAACCTAGACTATCTGTATGTCAGATGTCCATGTTTCTAGATCTGTGTACACCTAGACTATCTGTATGTCAGGTATCTATGTGTTTTGATTTATGTGAACCTAGACTATCTGTATGTCAGATGTCCATGTGTCTAGATTTATGTTAACCTAGACTATCTGTATGTCAAATATCCATGTGTCTAGATTTATGTTAAACTAGACTATCTGAATGTCAGATGTCCATGAGTCTAGATCTGTGTAAACCTAGACTATCTGTATGTCAGATGTCCATGTGT